TAAGCTGTTTTTTATTGAAATTGAAATGAGTTCAAGAATAAAGTGATTAGTATGAAATCTCCAAAAACAAAATTATAATTATAAAGAAAATCAAACGCGTACTCTCTGTGGGTGTGGGTGTGGAGAAAAGGAGTACCCGCACCCACACCCAAGAGGCAAAGAATGAGAATTGATGTTGTATGTTATTCAAGCGAATTCATAGCAACCATATTCTTTTAAAAATAATCTCATTCTTATTCAAAGGAAAGATTGCTTGCAGAACGCAAATATTGTTATCTGTGACGCTGTACACCATTTGAAAACGTACTGTTTCACTTTTTACCGCTGTCTTTTTCAACACCATCAAATGCCGAACCGCTCGACGGTACCCGACAATAATTATGTTACAGTTTGCCAGTTCATTACATTTAACACAGCGAAAGCAATAGCTCTGCTAGGCATTCTTAACCAACACAACTTCGAGATTAAATTTATAATCAAAACTTCAAACAACGATCCCAGGTAACAGTCTAAAATGTCCCAAAAAAATGCCCTTTCAAAAATGTCCCCGACATTTCGTCCTTGAAAAATTGTCCTTCGGTAAAAATGTCCCTCGGTAAAAATGTCCCTGAGATATGGTCCTTAGAAATATTGTCCTCCGAAAAAATGTCTTTCATTTTTAAGATGTGCCTTCTGTAAAATATGAACTACTCTTATTCATAAAAGCACTCATGTGATATAATCAATAAAACGAATAAAATTCTAATTTATTTTCCACTTGCGACAGAAAAAGAAAGTTCTTTTAATAATTCTTGTGGATCAATTTGGGTTTTGTCGAATCGTTCATAATTCTTTCATACGTTGTTCACCAATTTTTGACTTGGGTCGCTTTGCACGATGTTTCATTCAGCTATTAAGCTGAAAAATGACGTTATGAACAGTAATTGTTCCAGAAAATCTTAAAAATGTATCATCAGAATTTGTATGCAAAATTACATTACAACTTCGGTTTGTACATCGCCAAAATTTTATAGTTTTCTTTCGATTAAAATTAAAAAATTGTAAATTATAACCATTAACAATTGACATACATTTTACTTTATTCGAGTATGTTTTTGTAATAGTTAGTTTAGTTGGACTTGGTTGTAAAAACGAATTTTCAGGTGATTGAGATAGCGATAAACATTCAGTTTCATCAATAGCTGTTAACTTATTAGATCTCATCAAAAATGTCTTTTTACAATTACGG